CCATTCACCATTGCAACAAAAAGAATAAAATACTTAGGAGTATATCTACCTAAAGAAACAAAAGACCTATACATAGAAAACTATAAAACACTGATGAAAGAAATCAAAGAGGACACAAACAGATGGAGAAACATACCGTGTTCATGGATTGGAAGAGTCAATATTGTAAAAATGAGTATACTACCCAAAGCAATCTATAGATTCAATGCAATCCCTATCAAGCTACCAATGGTATTCTTCACAGAACTGGAACAAATAATTTCACAATTTGAATGGAAATACGAAAAACCTCGAATAGCCAAAGCAGTCTTGAGAAAGAAGAATGGAACTGGAGGAATCAACCTGCCTGATTTCAGGCTCTACTACAAAGCCATAGTCAGCAAGCAGATGTTATAAGAGCCAGCAAGTGATGGTGTTCCCTCTGTACAATAACAAAGATGTTTGAAATAGAGGTTATTTTCAGGAGCCTCCCAGTACATCCCTCCAAGGTGAAGAGCCATAATCAACCTGCTGTGGATGCACAGCTTTTTGAGAAACAATCATTTGTAATTTTAAACTACAGAGATTTGGGGTATTTGTTACTATAGTATAACCTAACCAGTCCTGACTGAAACACTTGTAAAACTAATTCTCTGTTCAGACTTCACAGATAATTTCTAACTCATTCTGGTTTTAAATATTTCCTATCATAAGTAGGAAATTAGGTAGAAAGTGATGAAGTGATGAGAAGATTATTTTATGAGCAATGGAGAAGCAATACTTCTCTCTGGGCAAGCTTTTGACAAAATAAATTTGACATTTTGGAGATTTAAAGTCAGAAGTACATAGGTGTATTATAATATGAAGACTTACTTTTAAATAGAACAACAAATTGAGAAATTTCTCAAACACATGATTCTCTCCATTAGTACCAATTAATAGTTATTTTTATGTATAGTTAGATGTCTGGTGGCCCAGTGGTAAAGAATTTACCTGCTAATGCAGGAGATTTAGGAGACATGGATTTGATCACTGGTTTGGGAAGATCCTCTGGAATAGAAAACGGCAATCCACTCCAGTATTCTTGCCTGGAAAATTCCATGGACAGGGAAGCTTGGTGGGGTACAGTCCATGGGGTTGCAAAGCATTAGACTCGACTGAGCAATTGAGCATGCACACACACAGGTGTTTTGATTATTAGTTGATATTGATACTATGCGTGTGTGTGTCCTCAAGTCAGTTTAGTCGTGTCTGACTCTTTGTGACCCTGTGGACCCCAGCCTGCCAGACTCGTCTGTCCACAGAATTCTTCAGGTAAGAGTACTGGAGTGGGTTGCCATTTCCTTCTCCAGGGGAGCTTCCCAACCCAGGGATCGAACCCACATCTCTTACATATCCTGCTTTGGCAGGTGAGTTCTTTACCACTAGCACCACCTGGGAAGTCCACTGATACTATAAGCTAAGGCATATAAAACTAGAAAAGAAGAAGCTGACAAGTTATGATTAGTTTAATAAGTTGCATGTATTGTTCAACAAAATAATCATTAGGTTACATGCTGTATATGCCCATATCGATTTAAAGAAACCTGGTAATAATCTCTCTTTAACTATTTAGAAAAAGAAATCACCAGGTCTATTTTCCTATTAAGTATTTGCCAGATCTACTTCTTATTCTTACCACCACTGCTTTAAGTCACGTCTTCATTATCTCTTACCAAAGCTCTCTAATTAATAATTCCAGTGTGCTTCTTTTCCTGGTTATGTTTATCACAACCACTGGATGCTATAACTAAAATACAACATTGACCGTCTTATTTCCTTGCATATGACCCTTGTGGTTCAACATCTCCTAGAAGACAAGGTTCAGGCTCCTTAATGCAGTATATAAGGGCTTCCTGGAAAGGCAGCATGGCCTGTTGGTTATGAGAATGAGTTTTAGAACCACACTGCCTGGGTTGGAAAATAGGTCTGCTCTAATTAGCTGAGTGACCTTTACTAAATATTTACAACAGTATGTCTATAAAAATGTTAGCTTTTGTTAATTTTATATGGTTTCTCTCTCACTTCCTGTACTTACTCTCTGATTTTTTAAAAATTACCCAAGGGTAATGATTACCCAATTAATTTTTTAATAATTACCCAATGCTTTCCTGGTGGTTCAGACAGTAAAGAGTCTACCTGCAATGTGGGAGATCTGGGTTCTATCCCTGGGTTGGGAAGATCCCCTGGAGAAGGAAATAGCAACTCATTCCAGTACTCTTACCTGGAGAATTCTGTGGATAGACGAGCCTGGCAGGCTGTGGTCCACATGGTCACAAAGAGTCAGACATGACTGAGCAACTAACTTCCACTTTAATGGGTACCAGGCAGATGTTCATCTCTATTCTTGAATTCCTTTGTAATTACTCATAACTCTTTCCCTCTTCCACTACCCCCTCCCTCAAACTGGCTAATGCTGTCTCATCTTTTAATGTTTAGTTCAGTGATAGCTTTAAAACTTAAGACTAAGTGTCTTTTCTTCGAATACCTAAGATATTTCTCTTATGAACTCAAAACCCATCTGTATCTCTATTATTATACTTATCACGCAGTATGATATTATAAGGTTTTTGTATCTACTGACACAGGCAGCTTGAGAGCAGGAATCATATCTCATTAATTTGTCCTTAGTATATTTCCTGATTCATAATAGACGCACAGTAGAAATGTTTGTTGAATATATAGGATATTGCCAAATAAAGAAAGGATTATTATTTTGTAATCACTTTTGAACTCTTTATTTTGTGGTTCAGTGTTGCTTGGTCGAGATCATTGTGATGAATTTCCTTTGAAATTTATTTCCAGAGAAAGTTCTTTCTCTCTTGAGTTCTTAATGTTTTCTTTTATCTGACCAGGACAACCTAGTTGCCTGTCTTGCCTTGAGTATCTCCACTCATAGAGCTAAAATAGTGTTCTATTCTGGTAACTGAATTGGGCTAAGTGGCTAATATTTTGCTTTTATTACATTAAATAAATCATGCTTAAATTATAGTCCATTTTAAATTATTGTGGGTAGTGAGGAGAATACATAGTTTGAAATTCCATGACATGATAAAAAGAATAAAATCGACATGTAAGTGCAATTAACTATATCTGGCATGAGTATTGATATTATTTATAATCTTGATTCCAATTATTTTAAAATAAAGACTCTATAACTGTATGAAATTAAATTTAAGAATTTGATAGTTTATTATAATCATGTGTGATTTATGATTGTGTACTGTGTATACTGTTTATATGTAGTTTTCGTGTTGAAGGAATGGTCGCTTGAAATAAAGAAGGCTGCTTTTTTGTACCCAGAATATTTTCAATATATTTGCTTAGCTAATATATTATAACTGAAGATCTGCTTTTTTTTTTTTTTTTTTTTTTTAGGACACTAACAAGTGCTGGTAAAGACCTACACGATAATTTTCTGAAGGCTCTGGCCGCGAGAGAAGAAGACAATCGCAGTGGAAAAGTGAGCGTGAGTACATTTCTTTCAGAGATTAAAAACGTGTACCATAAAGGCACATTAGTATATAATATCTACTTAATAATATAATTTTAGATATTGTCTCTGAAAGGTAATTCGTGAGGGATATAATAGAGCTCTTTATTATTGGAATATATTATAGGAATATGTGTGGAAAAATTATGTCAGTTTATATCTGTAGAAGTAGCTACATGGTGAAAAATATTAGTATCATTCTGCATATTTGTTGTGGAGAAAATGCCTATATGTGGCAGACTGGTTGTCATCTGCAACTTTGTGCTACTGCTGTGTTGAAACTTTCTGCTTCTTTTCAGCCCCATTTCTTAGTACACTTCTCCAAGTCATTTTATACACTCATCTTGAAGGTTTTCCTACTGTGTACCTGATTTTATGCTTTCTCTAGAAGATAAAGTCTTCCCTCTAGTCCTACGTTGGGAGGTGTGATAGAAACCACATAATGGAGAGAGATGATTTTGAGTCATCCGAGGAGAATATGCTTTTGCTTTATTAAAACTTGTGCTAAATCAGATATTTTAAATTGCTAATATTATTTGGAATATTTACTTTCATGCTTTGCTAATATAATACTGGTGATAACAGTCTTCTGTATGTAAAAATAGACAAATATTCATGCTGAAACTGTAATGAGTGACTTACAGGAAAAGAATCAGAAGTAGCAGGATGCAAATTTTAGAGCAACAGAAAAATATGTTATAAGAGTGTCTACCTTTACCAAAGTTTTCTCAATTAAAAAAATTGTATTTTTCTTTTTTTCAAATTTATTTATTTATTTATTTTACTTTACAACATTGTATTGGTTTTGCCACACATTGACTTGAAGATGTCACATGCAGATAAAATCCTCAATGTACTTCAGAAAGAAAAAATATCACTGTTTGGTTAGATAATTGTATAGAATGATCCTGGACTTGAAATCAGGGAAACTTTCTTGGTGGAAGTGAGCTGAGTGAAATTTAAAGGAGGTGAGGTTGGAAATACGGGTGGACACTAGACTTGGAGGACTTTGTAAATCACAACAGAAAAGTTGGAATTTATCTGAACCTTTTTGGAAAGAGCAGCTAGAAAGGAGGAAGACAGGTAGAAAAATGTGGTGTCATAGTAGTCCATAGTAAGGACCTTCAAGAAAAAGCAAATGATCACCAGTGATCAAGCAGGATATGGTCTGAAAAAGAATCTGTTGTGTTTGGGAACATTCACTTTAAAAAATACTTGACAACAAATTCCATCCATAGTAAGGACAGAAGTCAGGTTTCTTAGGGTTGAAAAATGGCCCATGGTTAGGCAGTAGCACCAAAAAACACAAACAGCTTTAGATACCCGAGGCCCATGTATTGTTCTGAAATGGTATAATGCCTCTCAAAAATGCCCTTTTAACCTTTCTATCCCATTGGTATTTCCTTTAACAATGAATAACAGCATCATTCATTCATTTACTCAATCAGAAGTATGTCAGTTATAATAAACTTAATTCTCTTTCACCCATGTTGAATGAGCTACTAAGTTCTTCTAAATATGTCAAATTACATCACTTTTCACCATCTCAAATAGCGTTTATCTAGATTCAAACCCCCATCACATCTTAAATATATTACTATAACAGCCTCTTAAATGATAACACCTGTGTATTTTCTTGGCCAACTCTGATCCATTTTCCAATTTCATGCTTCTTATGCACCTGCTCAAGCCTGGAACTATTTTAGTCTCTGGGACACTGGGGCACTGAAGAATCTGTGACCTTAAAGCATTTGTATTTTAGAGCACAAGATAGAGAATAGGTGGACAAAACAAAAATGGAACAGTTAATTTCAACTTTGGATGGGTGTTATGAAGAGCACAGAATTAGAATATCAGATATAGAGATTGAATAGACAGTGGTTGGTTGCTTTAGCTACTGTGTACAGGAAAATCACTTTAAGGAGGTTACATCTGTTGAGACTGGAATGAAATGAGGAAGATAGTCATGGAATGTGAATAGTAAGACATCCCAAAAAGATAAATATTTGAGAGGGTGCAATATATCCCATTAAGAAGGAAGATGTATTAAAATCTCCCGAGATAACAGCAATCATGGCATAATCAAGAGATGATAAGAAAACTGAAATGACTGGAAGGTAATTATTGAAGGGAATTATAAAGACAGATGAGGTCAGAGAGAAGGTCAGAAGCTGGACTGTACAGGTTATAAGGAATTTCTATTTTATTCTCTTTTAATGTTTATACTTATTCTTTTATTACTGAGATAAGAAGTCGATAGATGGATGATCTTAAGTGGAGAAGTGACCTGATCTGGCTTCCACTTTAGATTAACTTCACCACTGCTGTGTACACTAGGGTAATATGGGGAAGAAGTCAAGCAGAGCAAGCAGATAAGTTAGGGAGCTCTTATAATCAATCAGCAAAAGAAGAAACTTTTAAAACAGCACGGTTGTAGTTGAGATGGAGGGAAGTTCATCTCAACTGAATCGTGTCTATGTTTTAGAGGCAAATCACACAGGACTCAGTGATGGATTGGATGTGAAATCTTAAAGAAAGGGGAAATTAGGATGCCTTCTAAGCTTATCATTTGAACAGGTGGGGATGATGGTGGCATTTAGTGTGACTTGGGAACTTATTTCAGGAATCAATAATGTTCTATTTTGGCTACATTAATTTTGTGATGCCTATTAGATGCCCAAGTGGAGAAGTGGATTGGTCATTTACATATATTGGTTTGGAAATTGTGAGAAGTCTTGGCTAACATATAAATCTGAAAGTTATCAACATCTAGTATTAGTCACTCAGTTGTGTCTGACTCTTTGTGACCCCATGGACTGTGACCTGCCATCCTCCTCTGTTCATGAGATTTCCCAGGCTAGAATACTGGAGTGGGTTGCCATTTCCTTCTCCAGGGGATCTTCCCAACCCAGGGATCCAACCCAGGTCTCTCGCATTGCAGGCAGATTCTTTACAACTTGTAAATGGTATGTAAAATCATGAACTTGCAAAAGTTAACCAGGAAGAGAGTATGGGTAAAAAGAGTGAGGTTCTATGACAGATTTTTAAGACACTCCAACATATAGAGATCTGAAATGTGTCAAAGAAGTAGCTAAGGAAACAGAGAAATAGCACGTAGGAGAAAAATCAGGTGACAGCCATGCTGTGAAAAGAAAAAAAAAAAAAAACCCCAAGGAAAGAATGCTCACCATGGCAATTGCTGCTGAAGGCTACATAAGAGGATGTATCAGTTTCCCAGGGCTGCCATAGGAAATTACCATAACCTGAGCGGCTTAAAACAACAGAAATTTGTTCTCTCACAGTTCTGAAGGCCAGAAGTCTGAAATCACAGTGTCAGCAGAAACATTCTGAAGGGTCTAGGGGAGAATCTGTTCCATTCCTTTCTCACCTTCTGGTGTTGCTGACAATCACTGGTATACTTTGGTTTGTAGAGACATCACTTTGATCTCTGCTACTGTCATCACATGACATTTCTCCTTGTGTACCTGTGTTTGGGTCTTCTGTTCTCATAGAGACACCAGTCATATGAGATTAGCACCCCCGTACCCTGAATATGACTTAATATTAATTCCATTATGTCTACAAAAAAAACCTATTTCCTAATAAGGTTATCCTCACAGGTACTAGGGGTTAAGATCTCAACATATCTTTTGAGGGGGACAGAATTCAATCCATGAAAAATCCAGTCAATTCAACAGATAAAATGTTTGCTGTTGTTTTTGGGTAGGTAAATATCATGGATTGTGCTGGCAAGGGCAGTTTCAGTGGAAGACTGTGGTTAAGTGTGTGCTTGGAGTAGGTAAAGAAAAAGGTGTATGGGTGAAGATAAGGAAAATCAACTGTTTTTGAGGATTTTTGCAGTGAAGTATCACTTAGATATTGATTGATAACTGGTACAGGGTCAAGAGTCCAGGAAATTTGTTTTATTATGCTTTAAGATGGATCATTGTTGTTTTTCAGTCACTAAGTTGTACCCAACTCTGCGGCCCCATGGATTGCAGCATGCCAGGCTTCCCTGTCCTTCGCTATCTGCCAGAGATGGCTCAAACTCATGTCCATTGAGTTGGTGATGCCATCCAACCATCTCATCCTCTGTTGTCCCCTTGTCCTTTTGCCTTCAATATTTCCTAGCATCAGAGTCTTTTCCAACGAGATGGCTCTTCACATCAGGTGGCCAAAGTATTTATTAACCAGGTTTATGTCAATGGGAATGACCCATAGAGAGAGGAGTGTTGATGCTGTAGGGGACAGGGGGGATCTTTGCTGGAGGAATGGGATTCAGAGCAGAAGGAAAAGGCTTGCCTTTGAGAGGGGCAGAGGCCATTCACAGAAGGGAAAAGGAGTCTATAGGTCTAGTTACTAGGTAGATTGGTGAATTTGGATTTTGGAAAATGAGATAGCTTTTCTGGAAGTTTATCTATTTTTTCGACATCGCTGCTGAACGACCTTTAGTTGCATCATTATAGGTTTTTTTTTTTTTTTTTCCCTTAGAAAAAATGCTAAATTTAACTTTTTTGAGTCATTTAATGTTTGGTAGGCTGTCATTGATGTGGAAACTAGCATCTTTTTTAGACTCACTGCTGACTCTGAAAATAACATATGGTCGTTTATTTGGACCTTTGAATTTGTAATACTATTATAATCAGCAGAATGCATGTCATTGTATCAAGGGCAGCATTTAAGGCTTAATTTTCTGTATCTAGTCATGTCATAATGAAGACTCCAAATGGTTTTAGAGCAAACTATTTACAACAGAATACAGTATGTTTTAGAAAGATCTAATTATCAATATTAGGATCATAAGCTTACTTAAAAGGCATTTACTAAATGGATATACTTTAAAAAAGTAATCCTATAAAATATACAGTATTCATGAGATTTGAATCTATATTAATTTGCTCTCAGCAGAAATTATATGTGAATTTTATGAGGTCTGAACTCTCCAAGGGAAATGTCTATTTCCTGAGCATTGAGAT